TAGAAACCTTGAAGACATAGGGGTAGGTAGAGAATTCATGAACAGGACTCAAACTGCACGGGAAATACTTCCCAGAATTAATAACTGGGACCACCTCTTATTAAAAAGTTTCTGCAAGTCAAAAGAAATACCCAGCATAATGAAAAGAAAACCCACAAACTGGGAAAAAATCTTAGTGAACTCTCCCTCAGACAAGGGACTTTTGTCTAAAACATATAAAGAATTAAAAAATCTCAGACCCCCAAAATTAAAAGATCCAATCCAAAAATGGGCATCTGAGATGAATACACACTTCTCAGATGAAGAAATACAAATGGCAAATAAATACATGAAAAAATGTTCATCATCATTAGTCATTAGAGAAATGCAAATTAAAACCACACTGAGATTCCATCTCACTCCTGAAAGAATGGCCAGGATCAAGAAAACCAACAACAACAACTGCTGGAGAGGCTGTGGGGAAAAAGGAACTCTCCTACACTGTTGTTGGGAGTGTAGACTGGTACAACCTTTGTGGAGGTCAGTCTGGAGATTTCTCAAAAAACTGGGATTGGAAGCCCCATTTGTTCCAGCTATTCTACTTCTAGGCATATTTCCAGAAGAACTGAAAGCATCATACCACAGTGATATATGCACACCTATGGTTATAGCAGCACAATTTGTAAAAGCCAAATCTTGGAAACAACCCAAATGTCCATCAACTGAGGAATGGATAAAAATGTTGTGGTATTTCTATACAATGGAGTACTACTCAGCTATAAAGAAGGATCACATTGAGATATTTATCAATAAATGGGTGCAGCTTGAAACCATACTAAAATAAATCAAACTCGCATCTGTGAACACTGAATAGTTTCCCTAGTGTAGGAAATGATTCAAATATATAAAAGTATGTGGTAACCATGATTCCCCATTACGTGGCCTTGAAGCCTTATAAAGTTTTCACATTGCAATGGCTTTATTCTGGGCTGTTTGATATTATGGCCTGTGATGCAATGAACAGCTATTTTGAAGAAAACAAGACATCATAATAGCTAGTGCTGATTTAATGCCATCTTGTTTTAAAGCCCCACCAAACTATGGCTCTTCTGTCCCCATTGGTTTTATCATGTTGTATCTTGCTGGATTTTATCATGTGTGGTAGTATAAACAAAAATTGTTATAGGCAAAGAGACAATATAGAAACCATTGTTCATATTTCTGTTAGCTGGTTCTAAATACTCTACAATGCTTTCATCCGCTTGAATGGTGTTACACTGTCTTGATATGTTTGGTGCTATAGCATATGAAGTTATATTCAAATATTTTAAGGAAAAAGACACTATGGTAACTACTATTAAGTCGGGTTATTTGGTGGTGAAGCACTAGGTTGCTGAAACTGTCATGCTTTGACCTGTATTGTTATGTTATTAAGCCCTCTTTTATCTCAACCTCTCCCTTATTCATTAAAAAATTATTTAATTTTTTTTCTTTTTTAAACTAAGGGGAAAAATCAAAAAATCTAGCAGGATATATTATAGTAACCTTTTTGATTTCCTATTAACTTGATTTGAAGTTCTGTAATACTCCCACTATCTTGTTTTGACTGATTAGACTCTGTTTCTCTCTGTATGATAGTATTAAGTATCAGAGTATAGGCAACTACTTTGAAGGCAATAAGGTTCACTTGATGCCCATTCTAGTTTGACTATTATCCTCTTTTGAAGTTCTGTAAAGTTTACAATGTTTAGGTTTTATTGGACTTGTTCTCTACTGTTTTGTTCAACTTTATAATACCTAATGAGATGGACAATTCTTCTTAAGGAAGCAAGAGGCATCGTGGTAACCATTGTTGATAACCTTGTACTCTGTTTTTACATCATGTGCTATGTGTATCTTTGGTTTTGACTGACAGCTTTGTTTTATCATGTTTGATTTTATTCTCTTACAAAAAAAGTAATAAGATCTATGGGAGCAATAAAACCCAAAATGTGTAAATTTTGTTGTAATAAAGAGAGGGAAAAAAAAGTGCCCAAAAGGATACAACAGCAAGTGTGTTTAGGTGTGTTAAATAGATGACCATATTAATATTTTTGATTGGATCATTGAACACAACTGTTTGCAAACTCACTATTTGAATGTTCACTTTGTATGCTTTGATCCTGTGACCTGAATCACCGTTACAAAGATGATAGTGTGTAATCTATTAACTGGTGATATCTTACTTTTTTTTTCTTTTTGTAGTTCTGTATTACTTGTACTCTTACACTGTTTTTTTCTTTTTTCCTTTTAAATAAAAAAAAAAAAACTAACGCGCATTTCAGGTGGGCCCCAAATCCACTGCTTTGTGTCATTATAAGCACATACAGAGGGTGACTTAGGACACAATGGAAAAGAAAAGGCTATGTAAGGAGAGAGGCAAAGAATGGCAGGATACAGCTGAGTCAAAGAACACAAACTAGCTACCACAAGACAGGAAGAAGGAATGAAGTCTGCACAGTGATCCTGTGGGCAATGGACAATCTTGAGATGACTCAAGAGGGCAGAGACGATCTTAGCCTAGGGGATCCTGTCCTGGAGTGTTTTTAAATCTTAGTGGTTTTAGTTTAGTTTTAGTGGGTGGGACAGAATCACCCATCCCAAAAATTAATGGGAAATCTCAAAAACATGATACTGATAATCCCAAGGTTCCATTTATCCCTTAAGGAAGTATGTAAAATTAGCCATTGTGAATTTGTGGTCCCCAAAAGGATAGTTGGGTTATGGCTTGTGATTGGACATCCCAACAAAGCCTCATGCAGCCATAGGTGGGGCTTTCTCAGAGGTGCTGGATCTAGCAGGTGTGATTGATTCATGGTACAATGCAGGGTTAAGGGTACCAGGATTAAGGGTGTCAGCCTGGATACAATATAAGGGCCAGAAACAGGCTTGCTTTAGTTACTCGTAGGTTGGCTGCTTGCTTGCTTTGCTGTCTTTTGCCTGCCATAAACCATTTCTCCTCTACCATGCTAACCTGCCTTGGACCGAGCCAACTACGGACAGATATGTTTACAAACTGTAAGCCAAGTAAACCTTTCCTCCTTTAACTTCGGGTGTCGGGTATTTTGTCTCAGCAATGACACAAAAAGACAGAACTTGGTACCAGAGTCATGGGGTTGTTGGTGTGACTGTACCTAGCTAGGTGGCTCAGGAGCCTGTGGAACTAGCTCGTCAGGAAAGGTTTGGAGGTGCCAGTTTAAAGAAGAGCCCTGGCAAACTTGAGGTCCTGAGTTCAATTTCCAGAGAAGAAGGAGGAAGAGAAGGAGGAAAAGGAGCAGGAGAATAAATTGGGAAATTCTGGTCCGAGTTCAGAAGGCTGAACACTGTCAGAAATGCTGCTGGTAAAGATCAGTCTCAGGAGGTTTCTGCTGGGAAGGAGGACTGCATTGGCTGCTGGACTCCAGAGGATGTGTTACGGCTTAGCAGAAAGTTAGTCTGCATTTTGCTCATGTCCAGAGACTGCCAGAGACTGAGATTAAAGACAGCAGACTAATTAATCTGATAGAAGACATTTCAAGGCAGTTGAATGTCGAGGCAGTAACATGGCTATTGTTGGGGGCTTTTCACCACACTCACCTTGAGACTCAAGAGCAAAGAATGCAGACAGGCATTGCGGATCTCCACACCTGCCTTATCAGTGCCAGTCCCCTTCAGCTCACTGCTCCCTTTCCTGTGGAAAGGAAACTGGGCTCCTGGCCTCCTGGTGTCAGTGTCTGTGTATTTGTCACTTCTTTGGGGCTCAGGAGATGAGGAGGTTTTGTGCTCAGCAGCAAGAAGTTTGGAGAAGTTGCTTATCTCAAAAAGAAAAAATATCTAACTTTTAAAAGCTCTATTTTGTAGTGCTGGTTACAGTTAATGTCTAGATTCATCCCCCCGCCCCAAGCCTCATTGGCTCAAAGGTGGGACTTTTGGAAGGAGACTGGATTATTAGCGCTGATGTTACCTTGAACAGCTCCAAATTTCTGTTCCTTACCACAAAGGACCTGTACAGAAAGGCCCAGAAAAAACAGAGACCAAAACAAGCTATGGAAACAAGTTGTTCCAGCACCAAGAAGGCAAAAAACGAGAGATCACCTCTAGAAAGAGACTCCACCGCCTCGGATTCCGTTGCGTTTCCCTCGCTGCCTGAGGTTGCTTGCACACGCTTATTTTCAGTGAGGCTTTTGTGAAGACCTCTTGTCTTTCTGACCAGGTCGTGCCTTTCCTCATTGTTGCAGTTAAGATACACATATTTTGGGTGAGAACATTTCATCAGAAGTCTCTGGTAAACCTTTTCCCTGGCCTGCAGGTGATCTCTGACTCCTGTGTCTTTTTATAGTATGGAACTCTTGTGCACATCACCGAATAACTTGCTTTTGAGGTCATCTCTGGCCTCTTTCCTTTCCCTGAGACCTCACAGCTACTCTTTTAGAGCAGACTGCAGACCTGTCATTCAGCGCAGCTGGCTTTCCACCTGCGTGCTCCAGAGCCCGGGGCTCCCCGGCGGCCCGCCCAGACCCGGCGCAGTTTCGGCCTCCCACTCCGGAACCCGGAATGGGCGCGTGACCGCCTCGCGGGCACGAGCGAGGGTGGCGCTGAGCCGCGGTCCCCGCCCGCCGAGCGCTCTCAGTGCGGGGGCGGGAGCGTTCGGTGTGGGCGCGGGCCACCGAGGGGCCTCCCGGGCGCGGCGCAGGACAGCGAGGGCGCGAGCGGGCCCGAAGCGACCGGGCGGCGGGGCGACGGACGCGGCCACCGCGGGGCCCGAGCGCTCTGAGGCAGTCCCGCGTCCCAGCCCGCGTGTGCTCCCCGGCGAGGCCGCCGCGCCGTCATTCGCCTCCTCGCCCGGCGCCGGGGCGTCGGCCACAGAAACGAAAGCGACTGAGGTGCGTGAGGCCTGGGGCGCGGCCGCCCGGGTTTCGCGGGGAGCGGGCTTCCGGGAAGGGGCGGGACCTGCGACCCCTGGGTGGGCGGAGCTATGCTGCGCGGAAAGCTGGGCGGTGGGCGGGGCCGCGAGCGCTAGCGGAAGTCGGCGGATAGCTGGCGGTCCACCTGTAGCTGGGAAGGCTGGACGCGCCTCTTGTCTGCCAAAGTTTCAGCTCAAGTCCCGACAGCCGCTGCGATCTGCCCTCCGGCCACGGTAGAGGCCTGCCCGCGGAGCATCGCTCCTTCGTTGTTCTGGTAGGATGATGGGTTTTTACTGTAGTATCCTTAGGCTGTTTCTGCTCTTGACCTAACAGAGTTATGTAAAGGTTGAGACCTCTTCCCAACCCTTTGAAAGTTCTTTAACTGTTGCACCAGGGATCGCAGTAGACAGTTGAGCGTTTCTGCGAAGTCTTAGATGTGAGCTGGCAAATGGACCAGGAGCAGCCGACAGCCAGGTGAACATAGGGACGGATATCATGACTCTAAGATATCTCTTAGTCATCAGTGCAGTTTTGCTTTGGTGTCGTGCTTCAGAGTTCATCAGGAAAGGAGGAGGGCATCCTCCTCACCTCAGCAGTTAATAGCTTCCTTGTCTCTTGCTGATCACTGGACTCTTCCTTGGAAAGACATCTTGTTTATCTTGGGCAAAGTATGCAGTAGGGTTAATCAAGAAGTTTGAAGGAGCTAGGCATGGTGGCACATGTCTGTAATCTCAGCATTTGGGAGGTTGAGCCAGGAGGATCTCCTCCAGGGAGAAGCCAGCCTGGGCTACATAGTGCATTTAAGGCCAGCCTGGACTGAATTGAGAGACCCAGTTTTCAAAAGAAAAGTTTGAAGGAGTCCTTTAGTCTATCACTGTTGATACTTTCCGCATTTACATTTAAAGAAACCAAAACACAGATTGAACTTTGAAATGTAGAGTGACTTATTACTCATCTGCTTTTTGTACTCATCTGTCCATCATTTCTCCATATTTCTACTACTAGGATACTCAGTTAGTGTAGGCAGGTAAGGCTGTAAGATAGATCTTTGCATCTCCATTTTCCCAAGTTGTTATTGTTTACAGTTATTGTATATCTCTTGCATTGTCTGAGAAAGTTCCTTTCTTGTGAATAACTTTGAGGCCATCTGCTGGGTGGTGTCTCTTCCCAAGTGAAAAGTCTGATGTAAAGACTTAATTTTCCATTGACTAGCACCAGGAAGGCACAGTTTACTATCATCTGACTATAACCATCCTGACCAAAGGAACCCATAGGAGAGAGCCCATTTAGTTTCTGACCAGAATATTTGGGCCAAGTCTGGTTAAGGCACCCTTCCCAGATCTGGGGGGCTGGAAGTGGGAGGCCCTGGAGCAGCTTTTTTTTTTTTTTTTTTTTTTTGCTGTTATGGCAGCCAATTGATTACCTTGAGATACTTGTCAACTTCCTTTAGGTATCCTCTACAGTGAAGAGCATATAGCCAGATTTTTTAAAAATCTACTTGCTTATGATACTTTGTGGGAGATCCATTTGCTGTCAGATTATTTCTTTCTTTCCATAGGGCTGCATGGGCATGCAGTACTATGGAAGCATATCTTGAGTCAGTAGAAATATTGACTTTTTGTTCTTTACTGAGTTGTAAGGCCCTGGGCACAGCTGTGAGCTCTGTTAACTGAGTACTGATCCCAGGTACAAGTGAGGGACTTTCAAGTGTGTGATGTAGTCACCGCTGCGTACCCTGCCTTTCACATCCCATCTTCCATGATGGAGCTGCCACCACAGAAGAGGGTCAGAGCAGGGCCAGCAAGGGTGTGTCTAACCAGTTGGCTCAGGCTGGGTGTGTGTGGGGAATTACCTATTCACAGACATGTCTGTCAGCCTGTTTCCACCTTACCTGGTGGGTTTCTGGGTTAAGGAGGAACATGTGTTTATTTAAATGGCTGGGCCCTCTAGAAGAAGAGCCAGGTATTTAAGAAGTCAGTTATCTGATAGCCATAGGCTCCCTTTGGAAGAAAGAAGTCTGCCACATCATGAGGTGTATGTACAATGAGATCTTTACCTGAAGTCAGCTTGGATGCCTCCAGCACTAAGACTGCTACTGCTGCCACAGCTCTTAAGGCACACAAGCCATCCCTGTGCTACAGTGTCTGATTTATGACTCAGATGCCCTCGGGCTGTGGAACAGGTCCCCAATCCTGTGAAAGCACTCCCAAAGCCAGGCCCCAACTTTCATCAGTGTACAAACTGAAATGGTGTAGTGTTGGTAGGCTCGGGGCTACGGCATTTAGAAGGACTTGTTTAAACTTCTGGAATTCAGTTTGGGAATCGGGTTCCCAGTTAAACTATATGTATCTGCCTTTCAGGCTTCTTTTGTAAGTTGGTAAAGGGTTTGCACAAGCTCACCATATCCTGGTATCCAAAGGCAACAAGAGGTTGCAATTCTTAGGAGTACCCTTAGCTGTCTTAGAATCTTGGGCTGTAGGAAGGAAAGAATTCGTTTAATTCTTTCTTCCCCCAGCGTTTGGGTTCCCTTGAATATGATAGGGCCAAAAAATTTTACCTGAAGGCTGTAAAGTGTGTCTTAGACATAGAGACTTTATAACCCCTGTCTACTAGAAAATTCAGCAGAGCACAAGTGCGTTGGCTAAAGAGCTCTTCTGAGGGGGCACAAAATAGTACATCATCTATATATTGGAAGACCACCACCTGAGAAAATTTAAAACCCACCTCATTGTGGGAAAGCACTTGTCCAAAAGAAGAGGACTGTCTCCGAATCCTTGAGGAAGCACGGTCCCAATCATTTGAGAAATCTGGTAGTGAGGATTTTCAAAGGCAAAAATAAACTGGGAATCTTACATACTTACATACGTAAAGGGATGCAAAAAAAGGAATCTTAAATCTAACACTGAGAACCAGCTGGCATCTTCTGGGGTCTGAGAAAGGAGAGTGTGTGGATTAGATACCACTGGGTAGATTGGGACTACTGTTTAATTTATCAGTCTAAGGTCCTGTACCAACCTCTACTCTCACTGAATCTTTGAACTCCCAAGATCAGAATATTACATGGACTGTTACCTGGTTCAACTAAACCTCATGTCCTTAAGTTACCAATTATAGGCAGTAATTTCTCTTCAGGTCTTAAAGGATGTTGTCTCAGGGAGGAAAAATAGTAGGATATTAGATGTATGTGCAGCAGAGCAGCTCTTACTGCCCTGTTTTACTTTTAGGTGCCCATACCTCAGGAGTTATTCCTGCCTCCATGAAGCGAAGGCAGTGTACCTGACCTGCATGCATATATACTACAATATTTAAACAGGATACAAGATGTCTGCCAAAGAGGGGAACTGGACTTTCAGGCATGCTCAAAAAAGGAATGTAAAAAGCAAGCCATCTCAGTTGTGGCTTAAGGATTGTGAGAAAGAGGGAGATACCTGCTCTCTGGTGACTCCTTTCACTGAGGTATGGCTGGAAGGAAGGCCAGGATTGAAAAGAAGGACTAAGGGTCATGCACTAGTGTCCAGCAGTAGGTTGCTTTCTTTTCTCTTCATAGTCTGGATTACCAGGGGCTCCTCTGTGGAGATGGCAGTTTGGCCAGTAGGAGAAAGCAGGCAGGGTCCAAGGACCCTTGTCTTGTAGACCAGCTGGTAGACCAGCTGGTAAGATGAATCAGAACCCTGGACCTTCCATGTCAGAAGCTAGTCTGACTTCCTTCGATCACCTTTGCAATTAGGGTGTGTCCCAGGAGACTTCTCACTGCAGGTTTTTGGTCTGGTTTCATGGCCTGGCTTTCAGCAGTGGTAGCACAGGAGCTTAGTGATTGTCTAGCTCTTTTTGGCACCCTGAGAATTAGACTGAGAGTCTATTCCTTTTAAGCCTGCAACCAAGGCAGCCATGTGCTCCTGGGCTCTGTTTTCTCCTTGGCTCCTCCTCTTCTCAATTATAAAATATTGAGAAGGCAATTTTCACTAATGTATCAAGTGAGCTATCTGGGACAAAAGCCATCTTTTGTGGCTTTTTTCTAATATCTGAAGCTGACTAGGTAATAAACTTATCTTTAAGAATAATCTGTCCTTCTGTCGAATCAGGAGCTAGGTATGTATATTTTACCAGTGCCTCTTGTCAGTGATCTAAGAAGGTAGAGGGGTTCTCATTTTTTTCTTGCTGAATAGTTGACAATGTAAAATAATTGAAGAGTTTAGTTCTTGTCCTTTACAAATCTTCAAGAAAACATGTTTGGAGATGTCTCCTGTTCTAGTCTCCTAGCTGCTTGTTAGGCCAGTAGGAGTCTTGGGCTCCGATGGGAACTGGTTATTCCCCTGGCTGCCTATCTTCTGGTCTTCTAAAAGTAAGAGTATGATATTCATCCCTAATGCAATAGCAGCTTGTAATGCTACTTTTCTCTCATTAAAAGTCAGTGTTTGATTTTAGAGTATACATCTTGCCAGTCGAGCTCATAGGTCTAGGTAAGTCCTCTAGACGCCCCATTGTACTTACAGGGTTGTAGGAAAACTTTCCTAGATCCAGCTTCATCTGATGTAGGTCACTGAGAGAAAAAGACACATGAACTTGGTAGTTCCAAATTCCCCCCTTGCTTCTTGTAAAGGGCACTGTCCTTGAGCAACATGAATAAATGTAGCTAAAGATGGGTATAGCACTGTAGAAGCCTGGATTCTGACTGGTAGAAGCCCCACCCTCAGGACCAAAAGGCAAGTGAGGGACTCAGTAATAGTGGATTGTTTTGGAAACCTTATCCTCAGGTTCCAAAGGCTAGGAAGAGCAGCCACAGGAGCAGGAAAGTGGACGGCTTAAAAGCCTTAGGTATCTGCTTTTCCTGTGTCTCACATGTACTTTTTTTTTTTTTTTTTGTCTTTTTCCTTTTTATCAGTACCGGGGATCAAACTCATGACTGCCTGCTTGCAAGGCAGGTGCTTATGCCGCTGAGCTAAATCCCCAGCCCCTCACATGTACATTTTGAACACAAATAAGGCTTATTTCTTAATACAAAGCAAAGCTGAATGTAAGGCAATTCTGATCATGTTCCCTTTTTTTTTAACAGTAAGATTCTACTTATAAAATAGCATCATAATTAATACTTCCTCTGTATTCCACCTCGGGTCTAGGAGGTGAGTAGACCCTATGCATGTGTAGAACAATATCAAATGGCCCTTTTTCAACATGTAGGGGTCAAACATCTTCCAGTGCTTAAGAATACAGAATCTCTTAAAAGTAAGAGATTTGACGTTGAGTTCCCCATATCTGAAATGCAAAAATAAAGAA